TCTATCCTACAGATGGCAACACAAAAAATCAGGTACTGATGAGGGGGGGGGGGGGGTCGGTAAAGTGAGCTGTCGTTGCATAGATTTAATGAGACTTTTTTACTTTACTTAAAGCAAACAATGAGTAACTTATAATCACATCATGATGCACTATAAATATGCTTGTAATGCGTTATAAAAAATATTTTTAATGTATTGCAACTATGGGAACTATAACACACTATGATCCTTATGAGCCTTAAGTCATTATAATATGCTTATGGTTATCTCTTTAAAGCATTATGTACATCTATGAGTGCTTATAATTATGATTATACAGTGCAATAAGCAGATTATAACACATTATAAGTGTGTTGCTAAAAATGTATTTAATTCATTAAACACTGGGTTACACCTTTCTGTGGACAATGTGATCTACTGTAAGGTCCAAGCATGGGCCACAAAAAGCAGTCGTCAATGTGTCCATCATGACTGTATGCATGATGTCGATTATGTGTTTCAAGAGGAGATGATGCAGTAATGCCGTGTTCACACCAAACGCGTATTCGCGTCATTCGCGCCGCCGGGGACTATTTGTGTTCATTCGCGTGAATTGCGCTGGACGCGCCGGAGAGGGGGCGTGGTTTATCGCCCTGAAAGCCGTTCAACTGTCCGCCATTAACCATGGCAAAAATAACCCCTATTTCTGCTTAGTACGTGTTGTGAAAGTCACAGATATCCCGGGAAACTAAACGCCGTCATGTCTGGTTCATAACATTGTCCAGAGGAGCTCCGTGGATTTTATCGAAGTGTATTCACTGTGTCTAGCAAGCCACACGTCGCTGTTTACTACAGCTGTATGAACACAACATAAACTGATTTGGCTGTGATTTAACGGCAATACACCGACAAAAAGGGACTCCAAAATAACTACGTAATGATGCCGATTTGTACTTGTCTTCTCAATGGAGCTCGGACGGATCGGTGCTAGGCTATGCTAACATTGTAGCAGCTCCACCAATACTCAGAATAACGTCATCTAAACGTAAATACGGCAGCGTCTATTCATTGTTTGTACCATATAGTTTACACACACATATTTGTACACATAGTTTGGTCCGGTCTCTATTGATATGAGGTATCGTAGAGCTCTGGGTGAACACAGACGGCTAGAGTATTTCCTGATTCAATAACAGCAGTCAGTAATGACAGGAGAAACATCTCAATGCTTGATAGGCTATCGCGCTGGGGCGTAACGCGAATATTTCGGCGAAGTTGAAAAATTTCAACTCACGCGTTTGGGGCGATTTGGCGTTTGACGCGATTTGCGTCAATCGCGCCGCGCCATCGCGAATTCGCCTGCAGACTTTGTATGTAATCTACTCGCGCGAATAATTCGCGCCGCGTTTGGTGTGAACGCACCATAACTCGTGTATCACATGCCTTACCTGTAGGATGACAAAGGATCATGCTCTGCATCTGTTCATGCGCTCAGACTCTCAAACTCCTCACAGATACACATTCATCTGTAAAGAGACACAGAGATAAGACTCATCAGTCATTGTTTTTTACTTTTTCACAATACATTAAAAACCAAGGACCAAGACTTGGCAAACAAAGATTCTGCTGCACTGGAGTTAAGGATCAACAGCACTGGAGCAAGAATGTAGAAAGTAAAACTTCAGCGGTTGCGTTTGTACTTTAAAATAGGACAAAATATATATGTACTGTATATATATATATTGCTCATTTTACATAAAAATCCTCTGGAAACAAGCAATTCAAAGCTTTCCAGCTTCAAACAGTAGCCTGCAAAGCAAGTGATGGAGGAGAAGAATAAAGCAGGGTATGCTTTAGGGCGTGGCAACCCCTTCAGTGAGTCTTCAGTTCATGAAAGATAACTAACATTTTGGTCCCCTAAACAAAAAAATCTTGTTCAGCGTTCGGTAGTGCTTAGCTCTAAGGCTATATCGATAATAAATCGGTGTCGTGATTATTGTTTTAGAGGCTACAGTACAGACTTACTAGAGTATTCTATACTTCATCCATTTAATCATTATATCCACATTACCAATTCTTACTTTTCAAAGGTCTCACTGTGTAAATATTTTGTGAAAGCACCAATGGTCAACCGTACAGTGTCTTTGCAATATCAATATTGTGGTATTTAGGTCAAAATTTAAATTTTCTCTAAATGGCCAAGCCCTACTTAGCTCCACCCCCTCGTGTCACTTTGGATTAGGAAAAACCAAGATGGCGACAGCCAAAGTGCCGAACGAAAGCCTTCAAAACACACTGACCCTCCACCTGAAAGATCACACCACTGAAGGCTCCCCTCAGTCCCTGAATAAGGTCTGAGGAGGTCACTTAAAGGTGACGGGACATCACTGACAGTATTTTATAAAAAAGGCTGGAGGTGGTGAAGAGGATGAAAGAGGTGAAAGAATCAGGGGACTTCATCCCCCCCGCCTGTGACGCCAGTCTAGGAAAGTACCAGTAGCCTAATAACAAGGTTATGATATTTCCTTGAGTATGTCAAACGGCTCTACAGAACAGAAGGCCATTCAAAGCCGACATATGGTCCACATCACCAATTACCAAGGTGTGCGTCGATAGGGAGAAGATGAAGAGAGTGGTAGCAACAGAGGGAGTTCAAATGTGGACAGATGAGGAGAGGAGGGACTTTCAGCCAATTTAGAGTAACGACCTCGGGTTGCAGGGACTGAGTTCAATATGGTACACATAGTACGAATTTACCTCATCAATATGAAATGCCTCCGATAGTGTTTTAAAGATCACAGATCAGCAAGTTGCAAGAGCAGGTCATGACTGAAACATATGAGTTAAATTGGCGGGGGCGGGGGGGTATTACGACATCTGATGCAACTCTCGTCTGTAGTATATTTTACACAGTACTGTCATTTCCTCTATGTAGAGCAGGGTTCCAAATGTCTTCGGAACCCTTCGGAAAGGTCATGTTTGTAGAAGACGCTATACAGTCATTTTTTGCTCTTGAAATGATCCCTTTTTGAGTTAAAAGGGATCTCCAGCAGATCATCGCAGCCTGAAACCGAGGATGTTTGGAAAGTCGGGGTCATGACCCTGAAAGAAGTGACAGACTTGGATAACAAAGTCCTCAAAAAGTCCTAGAAAAGATTTTGACTGATGATTTCTGACTAATCAATAGCTAAACGAACGTCACTATCTTTAAAGGAAGGAATGGTTTCCTACAAGAAATGAAAACACCAGGACTGTTGAAGGAACTGTTGAAGATGAGGAGGAGGTTATAAAAGAGGGATCAACAGGACGAAGCCAAATAAGACAAGAAATATCTTCAGAATAATAGAGAATAGTTAATGTGGATTCTTTCCTTTGTCCTTCAGTGTTGCTTACTATGAACACGAGGCATCGGTGTGTTGGAGTGGAAAGGCCCAAGCCTTCATGCTGGTTTAGTCCCAGAAAGACCCTCATTAATTCGCATGCAACCATCTCGCCGACAATTCCCATCTACCCCAGGTCAGTGGTGAGCCCATGGCCGAGCATGTGCGCACCAATTAATCCAATGGCTCGAGTCACAGTCTGCTCTCATTTCCAAAGGAGTCAATCAAAAGCCGGGGATTGGAGTCCAGAGTTCTCCCTCCCAATATCGAACCCCCTCTTCAAAACGTTAAGTGTAAAAAGGCAAAGACACAAAGCTTTGAAACTGGTTTGTTTCCCAATAATGGACTGAAAGGAACTACTCCCCCCAAAATTCCTGCCTCTCCACAATTCTGAAAATGTTCCCTTTTGAGCCTGCGAGGACGCAAAAAATCTGTTGATTCAGTGGCGGAATCCTTTCCCTCCTAAGCCACTATTTGCTTTAGCGGCGATGACACAAGGGGAGGAATTTGAGCAATGCCTGTGTATCGTAGACTCATTTCCTCAGATGGAGAGCCGTCTCCAGACAGAAGAGACAGTGGTGAAGTCGGCTTTAGTCCCGCACCTCTGGCTCCGGGTCGCCCAGCGTCCTGCAGACATGTAACACACTGCTCTTTCCATGTCAGTCACACACTCACGTATTCTAACCCTTATTCATAACAAGCGGCAAACGTGTAATGGCACGAAGCATCCATACACTTCCAATCAGTCACGGAACTATGTTTTCTAACGACCACGTAGGACTCACGGATGAAAGGCCGTCACTCCTCGCTTGTTTGTTTTGTCTGAATGATGAGCGGCCAGCCAATCGCTGGCTATCGAGACGATGAATTCATCCCCTCCCAACAACCTTTGAGCGCACCCTGATCCCCGCTCTTTTTATCATTTCCAAAGATCATGTTGTGTTGTACTTCGCAGGAACGACTGCCTGCTTACGGGATTCCAAAGGGCTTACCGCCTCTTTCTGCACAAACGGAAGTCTCTCCCGATTTGTAAGGGATCAAAGTGGCCTCGGAACTGTGCCGCTTCCAAGTTAAAAAAAATGAAAAGCGTGAAAAGCCAGAGATCGCACTCTCTCTCGCTCCACGATGTGATCGGGTCAAACTGAAGCAGCCTCGAGATAAAACTTTGCTTCAACAGGAGATCAACGCCGCTTCGCCATTGTGTGCTCGTTCTCCCTCACTCTCTCTGGCCCTCCCTGATATTTTCCACTGCTGGGTCAATGAGGTGTCATACTAGTGAAATACTGAGAGCAGTTTAAAGAGCATTGAAGGATGCCCTTTTTTCTCATTGTGCTTCAAAGTCAATGAACAAAAAAAAGAAGAGAAATGGAGTGGGCTGTGCAAGAAGATTAGCAATCTTTGTACTTGGTGGATGGCAGCCAAAAAGCATCTACCCGCTCCTCTCTCCACTTGTGTCTTTTTTCAGCTGTTCCGTTTCATGCCAGATATGTAAATTGCTTCTGAAAGTCACACAGGAGCTCATACGGGACCATTCGGATTTTACATGCCAAAAAAAAAGCATGTATCAAATGACATAGGGATATCAACACGGTAGATCTCCAATGATAAAAGCAGTGGAGTATGGAGAGAGAGAGATAGAGAGAGAGACGGAGACAGAGAGAAAGAGAGACAGAGACCAAGAGAGAGAAGAGACAGAGAGAGACAGAGACAGAGAGAGAGACAGAGACCGAGAGAGAGACCGAGAGAGAGATTTGATTTATTTATTTAATTTATTTAAAAGGGACCATGTACAGTTTAAACATAAATGTCTCCATTCGATGCACTGTACCAGATTGTAGCTTAAGCTAATTTGCATCTGCAGTCCCAGACCGAGAAAGAGATACCGAGAGAGAGACAGAGAGAGACAGACACAGAGGGACTGAGACAGAGACCGAGACAGAGACCGAGAGAGAGAGACAGAGACAGAGAGACACAGAGACACAAAAGACCGAGAAAGAGAGACCGAGAAAGAGAGACCGAGAGAGAGAGACAGAGACAGAGAGAGATCGAGAAAGAGAGACCGAGAGAGAGAGAGAGAGAGACAAAGACAGAGAGAGACAGAGACAGACACAGAGAGACTGAGACAGAGACCGAGACAGAGAGAGAGAGACAGAGACCGAGAAAGAGAGACAGAGAGAGAGACAGAGAGACAGACCGAGAAAGAGAGACCGAGAAAGAGAGACAGAGAGAGAGACCGACAGAGAGAGAGAGAGAGACAGAGAGAGACAGACAGAGAGAGACAGACAGAGACAGACAGAGAGAGAGAGACAGAGACAGAGAGAGTAAATGGCAACAGCAAGGATAGACGGGCTATGGTAATGCGGACTAAACTAATTGAAAGATCACAGGATGAGGTAGTTGGGGTTAAAAGGGATGAATGAACTTTAGAATCAAGTCAGCCTTTAGTTTTAACGAGACATCATTCTCTGTCTAAATGTATTTTATACAGTATTGCTGTGAGAACGTTAATTTACAGGATTACATTTGAACACATGGTAACATTATAATTTACCTTCACTCAATACTTATTTTGACTGAATAGAGCTTGAACGTATCATTCTGTAACTCAATGTACCCTCTGTTAATGTTAGCTGTTAGCTCCGTAATTTAGCCAAGCAGGACATCATTTTTGCCAAAAACTACATTTTACAAGATTACATTTGGACACATCGTGATAACATTGCATTTGACCTTCACCCAAAACTCATTTTTACTGTTTGGAGCTTGAACGCGCCATAATGTAACTCAATGCAACGTCCCTCCATTAGCTGTTAGCTCCGTTATAAGCAGGACTGTGCTAGAGAGAGAAGAGCCGGTGACAGTGATTACTCTGAGCAGCATGATGGGAATGAATTACAATATAATAATAATCTCCTGATTCCATATTCTTCCTGATACAGATACAAATAACATTTATTCATCACTTGTCCGATCGGATAACTGAATGAGTCATTCCACTTTTCCGACCACAGAGTTTACTTGTGTTCATGTCAAGTTAATGTGTCATCTGATATCATCAATAAATAACTTATTAACATGAAAACTATTTGCAAAGTTAACTCTAAAGCTCCTATTCTGAATACATTTTCAGACAGCAGCATTTTCTC